AATGAATATTAGTCTTTTTCAATTTTATTACTGAAATAAATCAACATTTCCATGATATTCTAATTTACTGAGATGCACCTGTATGATATGGGTGAAACTGGATAATATTTTATGGAGAACATTTGTTTTGGTTTTCCCTCTGATGTCCTCCAGCTGCTGCTGCAACTGCCGTTAGCATGCTGCAGAACCCCAGTGAACACAACCTCAGAGACAACAGCAGTACCAAAATGATTTACAGAGTTTCCTGATAAAATAAATAAAAGAATAAATAATAAAAATAAAAATAAAAGAAGCTAACTGCCGCTAATGGTAATGTTAGCTGTTGTATAAATGGTTAGCTCATGCAGCTATCGTTAGCTGACTTAGCCCTGGGGTGCCAGGAGCCAAACCCGTCTAACAAAAAACCATGGTTCTTTATTTCATGTGGTCAAACTGTCCTCTGTCGGTATTGGATGCTGCATTTGGACCCAGTCTTGGCATGCTATTCACTGGGAGCTATTGGCTACTGGGACAAGTCCATCTGTAGCTGCCGGATTTTACAGGAAATGCGTATGCGGAAGCAAACAGAACTCTGCTTCATGTTTCATGTGGACTTGAATAACTCATTCTTTAAAGAATTCTTTCAAATATGTGTAGAATTGTGTTGTCCAAGTCACATCCAATTTAATGATGTAATGATACAAAACATTAAATCAAAGGAAAGCCTGCATTGTGAAGCGCAGAAAAAAGAAAACATGGGAAGAAAACAATATTACGTCCAGCTTTACTTCTATGGTTATTGACTAAAATGCTAAAATTGTTGTATCTTGTCATGAGGGAATTGCGGCTTAAAACAACTGCAGCAACTGGTAAGCGTATACTACTCTATTCTGAATTATGCATACTGCCTCAGATAACGCATTATTCATGACCAATGCTACATTGTACAGGTGGTGGTCTTAAACCATTAGGCACATTTGCTGAAGTGGTTCAGGGAGTGGTTGGAGAAAGTAATGCTTCAAATAGTGCTGGTTGACGGACCCTAGAGTTCTTGCCAAGGTAAGGGCAACAGGAATAAATTGTAAACAGTTTTATCCATTTGTTAGTTGATTATACACAAATGTCTAAATTCATAGCATAATACATCTTTCTTTATTTCTAGGAAAACACCACTTCCCCATCTTGTTGGCCGTTCATTCTTCCCCTGGCTGGTCCATTCTTAACCAAAGGCACAGACCAGACCATGTGCTTTTTCCTTCAAGAATGGACCCTGGTGACATGGATGACGTGGCATTGCGAAAAGAACTTTGAATGAGCTTAAGCTTGTACACAAAAAAGTAATATATACTTAAAAAAAACAATAAAAAATTAAACACAACTAAACTACATTGTTTTCAATATCTTTATTAATGTCATCTTTGAGCCGGTGGATGTTGCACAGTTTGTATGCACTGCACAGGCAGTAATTATCTCGGAGGGTGGTTGGGGTAGTTGTTGAATTCTCCAAGGAGAACACAGAACGTGTGCGTCCTCTGGCCAGTGCCCCTCTCCACAGCACTCACTTTGTGTGATCTGGAAAAAAACAAAAAAAAAAGTATGCTATGCTACAAAATACCACCCAATACATTGTATTTCATGATAGCATTTAAATAGCAAAGGTTTGTGGTAAAATCATTTAATTTCAATGGCCACAATCGGTAAATTTAGCTTTTCTTCCCCGTTCAAAAACTCATTATTGAAGGAAGTGATTTACAACCCCAAGAACAAAGGGAGGGGATGTCATTGTGCAGAGAAAATAGAAATAAGTTTTAAGGGGAATTGTGACTGAAGCCACTTTCATTGAAGATGTCAAAAACTGCAGTTCCTCAAATGGCCACCTGAGGCTGGCTTCAGAAGTGAGTCGATCTCCATAAGGCCCCATATTAAAATACCCCCCCAAAAAAACTTTACAGCAGAAATAAATATGTTTACA